CAGGGTTTCTCTGTGTAGCTTTGCGCCTTTCCTGGGACTCACTTGGTAGCCCAGGCTGGCCTCGAACTCACAGAGATCTGCCTGGCTTTGCCTCCCGAGTGCTGGGATAAAAGTGTCTTTTCTTAGAAGAAATAAAGTATAATTATCCTTGGAACAGTAAGAGAACTTGGTGTTTGTTCCAATTAAATTTTCTTTGAGGGTCTGACTTTTTTCTTTGTTCCTTTTTTTCAAGAAATTTTGTTTTTTTTTAAAATCCTTTTAAGTTTTTTTTTCCCCAAAAGAATAATCTTTTATAAGTGAGGACACACACACACACACACTTATAAAAATTATTATTACTGGCTAATTTCATATAAAAAGGATTTCAAATTTGTGGACCCAGTGAAACAGGCTGAAGAAAAGTTATATATATATTGGGGTCCCTTGGTATAAAGAAATAAAATACCATAGTTTTAACTAGCATTCTGAAAGAACGGATAATTCATATCACACTTTATTGTTTTTATTCAAGGGTGCATGCATGTGTTTGTGGGGGCCAGAAGTGAAAGTCTTGTGCCTTCCTCGATCCTGTGCCACTGTATTCTCTGAGACAGGACTTTCAGCTGAACCTGGGGCTGGCATGGCTGGCCAGCAAGCCTTAGGGGTCCCGTGGTCACCTCCCCGGCCGTGGGATTGTGGACATGCACACTATATAAGCTCTTGTCTGTGTGTGCTGAGGGTTGAGCCCAGGTCCTCAGTGCTTTTCAAGTACTTACTCACTGAGCCATCTCAGCTCCTAACCATTTCTTATTCTTTGAGACAGGGATTTTACATGTGGTTGAATCTTACTATGTATTCCAGGCTAGCTTCAAACCCACAGTCCTTTGGCCTCAGCCTCCCAAGTGCTGGAATTAATGGTGTGCACCACCATTCCAGGCCTATATGTTGAATTTTGATTTCCTAAAATCACCTGGATTTTAATATTTGCTCTTTCATATTGTTTTAGTGCTCAGGATAATGAACCACCTGAATCTGCTCATCGTGGCTCTGCTGACCCCCTTATCTGTAGTCCCTTTGCAGGGATGCTCTTTGGTATGTACAGAAATTCCAGTTGATTAGTTACCTTGGCAGGGTGTTGAATTAAATGTCCTTAGTGAGAACTCAGTATTGTAAGGAATGATGCCTTATGAATAAGAGCCAACAATTTATTGAGGCCTACTTCATGCTGGGTACCATGTTAAGCGTTTAGCATGCATTGTATAGAACTGTTGATACTCTTAAAGCTATATAACTTAATTGGCTACAAAGTTTATAGATGATAGGTGAAATTAGTGGTTTTAATTTTTTTCTTTTTAACTAGGACTTTATTGTACTATGGATGTTTCTTTTTATTCTGTTTTATATGTGACCGTTGATTCTTTGATTATTTCTTAGGTGGTGTGAAATTGTCTTGTATTTTAGTTTACTTTCTTTGAATATTCCTTTCTTTCACCTGCTCTTGTTGTCTTAGCCACTCTGTTGTTGTGTGTGTGAGAGAGGCAGAGACACAGAGAGAGACACAGAGACAGAGAGACACGTACATAGAGACACAACAGAGACACACAGAGAGAGGCAGACAGACAGACAGATGGAGACAGAGAGACAGAGAGGCTGGGTCTGGCTCCGGCTCCTGAGACCTCACAGCCCACCCCAGTGGCACACCTCCTCCAACAAGGCCACACCTCCTCCAACAAGGCCACACCTCCTCCAACAAGGCCACGCCTCCCTGATGACGAAGCGTTCAAATATAGGAGCCTTTGGGGACCATTCATATTAAAACTGCCACACTTGTTCTTTCTATCTGGTTTCTGAAAAAGTGTTTTTCCAAATCATCATGATGATCTAAATTTTCTATTTTTTTAAAAATCAGAGGTCAAGGTCATTACTGAACATAATCCTTTTTGTTTGCTATATTATGTTTGTCTTTATTTCATTTCAGAAATGGTATGGTGAGCCTTGTTTTTTTGCTTATTGCTTTGTACACGAAAGTTGTTCTTTGAATGGACACTTTGAAAGCTTAGCTAAAATTTGGTTGTAGTAAGGTACATGAGCAAATTGAATAGTGTATTAGGTTCTTCCAACCTAAAAGCTGTCAGTGTTTAAATTTTGGCTTTGAGACATAGTCACATGGTATTTTCAGACTTTGATTTCCTGGAAATGACTATTGTTCTTGTTGTGTATAAGATCTGACCAATTTTATCTTTAAATCAGAGTAAAAGCACATAATTATGATGTATTTTGTAACACATGGTAAAAATAAGAGAAACGAATAAGCTGAGAGTTGACTGAAAATAATTTTATCAGTAAGAAGATTAGTGAGTTTATCAGTAAGCAGTCAGGGAGTGAGTGACATGATAGACTAGTGTTTGGGACAAACCATTGGGGTCATTTAAACCAGTGGTCCATCTTACACTTGAGTATTTGTGTGTGTCCCTGAGAGCGTTTGTATGTACAGGGAGCTTACCTCTCTCTGAAGGTAGACTATTTTCTTCTTAGGCTGTGCCAGTCGTTAAAATACGCCATCACTTCCATTGTTCTAAAATTTATTTTCCTATTGTTTGCTTCAAATATTTCATTTAGGACTTTTACTTTATTGAAAAACCAAACCAAACCAAACCAAACCAAACTGGCTGTGGTGGTGCACGCCTTTAATCTCAGCACTTAGATGTAGAGGCAAGCAGATCTCTGTGCATTGGGGGCCAGCCTGGTGTGTGTTGCAAGCTCCAGGACCGCTAGGACTGCATAGACCAATGGTTCTCAACCTGTGGGTCATGACCCTACAAGGGTCACATATCAGATGTTAACATTACACTTTATAACAGTAGCAAAATTACAGTTATGAAGTAGCAATGAAATAATTTTAATGGTTGGGGGTTATGACAACATGAGGAGCTGTATTAAAGGGTCAGAGCATTAGGAAGGTTGAGAACCAATCATTTGACATTAACCCTTTTTTCAAAAAAAAAAAAAAGAAAGCGAGCTGTTTGGATGGAAATGAATGACAGTGTAGTGTGGCATTTAGAACAGAACTGTGAATGGTTTAGGAGTATACATTTGGATTGACAGAATTGATACAATTCTGTTTGCATCTCAGTGTTGGGATTGGATGCAGAGCCTTTGTGCCTACCAAGTAAGAGTTACACCACAGAGCTATGTACAGCCCCTTAACGCTTGTTGACTGACATCTCTTATAGTCTGGTAGCATAATTCATGTAATCTTTACGATGTCAAATTTGCTGGATGCACTAAAAGATTTTAAAAATACTTTTTTTGGTTTAGAATATCTGAGACAGTATCTCATGGAATACCCCAGGTTGGATTAGGACTTGCTTTGTAGCTCAGGCTGACTGAATGCACAGCCCTGTCTACCTTCTACGTGCTGAAATTACTGGTGTGTGCTAGTACATATGGGCTATGTTTTTCTTTTTCCTTTGTTTTCTGAGACACTGTCAAAAAAATCATGATAGTTCAGGTTGAACATCAACCTGAGATCTACTGAGAATACAGGTGTGAGCCACCATGTCTATATAAAGAATCTTTTAATGGATTTAAAAAATACAGTGTGTACTGAAGATTGTACATGGTGTGGTTGTTGATCAAATGGTTTACAATTCTCAGTTAAATAAGGCTGTTTGACCTTAATGATTTTATTTTTCTGGTTTTACCTGTTATATGGAGAGAATTATATTTTACAGCACATATGGCCTTTAAAAATCTGTTGAAGGTGCTGGGCGGCAGTGGTGCACGCCTTCAATTCCAACACTCTGGAGGCAGAGCCAGGCAGATGTCTGTGAGTTCGAGGCCATCCTGGTCTACAGAGCGAGATCTAGGACACGCACCAAAACTACACAGAGAAACACTGTCTCAAAAAACAAAAACAAGACAAAACAAAATAAAATTTGTTGAAGGCTCAGCTGGTTTCTTTTACATGCTGTTTGGTGGTTACCTCTTTCCCATAGTCTGCTAATATTATGATGCTTGGGCTCCCTCGCCTGCATGGATTTCTCCTTTATTTCTTGATGTTCAGTTCATCTAGTTATTGACAACCTTAGCTTTTAAAGCCATGGTTTTGTAGATGATGGAGCCTTTTCTCAAAGTAGAGTCAAGAGTAGCCTTCTTTGAGGCTTTTTACCTTCTCTGTAGAAGGCCTCCTTGTGTGGTTTTTCTTTTTTGTTGTTAGTAGCTGTCGTATTCCTCATCCTTATGTTTATAGGACACTAGCTATTTTAACACTTGCTGCTTCTGCTTTTCGTCATGTGTGTGTGTGATCTGAAGGGCCTTGCTCAGACTAGGCAGTTGTTGGGACTCCATTATTGGGATGGTTTGAAGAAAACAGAGGGGCCTGTTTCAACTTTTGGAGGAACACTTGTTAAATTTATAGAAGCTATTAAGGTATATTAGTTATTTTTTGTTGCTGTGCTGAAACACTATGACCAAGGCACCGTATAGAAGAAAGAGTTTATTTGGGCTTCTAGAATCCATCACGGTGAGGGCAGCATGGAAGCAGGTGACAGGCAGATAACAGGAGTAGAAAGCTGAGAGTCTACAACTTGAACCACAAGCGTGAAGCAGAGAGAACTGAGGTAAGGCGAATCGTAAGCTCTCAAAGCCCACCCCCAGTGACACACTTCTGGTAAGACCACACCTCCTAAGCCTTTCCAAACAGTGTCACCAACTTCCGACCAAGTGTTCAAATGCCCAGGACTGTGGGAACATTTCTCATCCAAACCACCATGTAAGGGGCTGGGATTAGAATCTTTGTTACACAGAGACCCAGGAATTATTAATACATGCTGTGTTTGACCCATGATAAGAATGCATAAGTTATGAAAGTAATTGATGTATCGATGCAATTTTCCCTATTTCTTTCTTAGTAATTACTCTGACATAATCAAATACTGAATTTGTTAAGCTTGAGTTTTAGTTTTGTGTGACACAGAAGAGTTAAGTGTCTTTTTAGATTTATTTATTTATTTATTTATTTATTTATTTATTTATTTATTTATTTATTTATTTATTTATTTATTTATTATGTACACAGTGTTCTGTCTGCATGTATGCATGCAGGCCAGAAGAGGGCACCAGATCTTATTACAGATGGTTGTGAGTTGTGGTTGCTGGGAGTTGAACTCAGGACCTCTGGAAGAACAGCTAGTGCTGTTAACCTCTGAGCCATCTCTCCAGCACCGAGTTAAGTGTCTTAACTTTTTCTTATCCAGGAGGCGAAGATCGAGAAGCTCTCCGGAGAAAGAAAGAGATATATAGGCAAGAACTCCTGGAACAGATGGCTGAGCAGCAGAGGAAGAAGAAACGGTAATGAGAGGTTTGCATTTAGCAGACCGCACTGGTATACAATGATAGGATGTGAAGAGTGAGCAGCAGTTTTTCATAATGTAACTTGATTGCAAATCACCTGCCTGTGCCTGTTAGATTATTGCTCATATACTAACAAATTGTTTATCTTTGAAAACAAGAAATGGTAAGCATACACCATGCAGAAGGAAATGTAGCAAATCATTGTTTATGTTGTATTCAACTCTGTTTGTAATCTTTATTTTTTCATTTTTTTATTATTTTTTCCTTTGACAGTTTCAGAGATGTAGCTAATGAATTTTAATCATCTTGCCCACTGTTATCTTCTCTGTTTTCTTGAGTTATCTGGGCAGTGTTAATTAAAATTATGAATAAAAATCTTGGTTCTAAAGAAGTGGAGTGTTATCTTCTTATTCCTTTTCCTTACCTCCAAGAGGAAGCTAGTATTTTTTTTTTTTTTTTTTGTAGTGCTGGCCTTTGAACCCAGAGCCTTGTGTTGGTTAGTTAAGCAAGCCTTCTACTATTGAGATTTTTTTTCTTTAAAGATTTATTTTTATATTATTTATATGAGTGTTTTGCCTACATGTAAGTGTGTACACTATGTGTGTGCCTGGTTCACTTGGAGGCCAGAAAAGGGTGTCCGAATCCTTAGGATTGGAGTTAGAGGTGGTTGTGAGCTGCCATGTGGATGCTGAGAACTTGAACCCAGGTCCTCTGAAGCAGCAGTGAAAGGCTCTGACCTGCTGCTGAGCCATCTCTCCAGCCTTATTGGCGTGAAAAGATACACGTGCTCTTCAAGAGATTCCAAGTTTTTTCATAAAATATTTTGTCTTGTTTTTCTCTTTTATTCTGTGTAAACTACTGTGTCTTTGAAGTGCCTCCAGTATTCACTTTGGGATGTATTTTAAGGCATTTGACATGTAATGTGGACTATGATTAAATTTGGTTTTAGAATTTTAAAGCTTTGTTATTAATTAAAGGAATTATTTGTATTTGGAGGTTGATTGTATGGACTTTGTGTGCAAATCTATTTCATTGATGATTGTAGTTTTGATTGTGCGTTTACTACAATTTCAATTTATAAAATCTTAATTTTGTCTAGAGAAAAAGATTTACGACTTTCACTTGCGGCGGCTTGTGTACGAGGCCCTGAAAAATCGGTAAGAGTCTTGGCATCCTTCAGTGTTTAATCTTTCATTCAAATAAGCCTCAAGTGGTAGTAGCAAGTGAGGCTTCCCATGTTGGGTACCATAAAAAGCAATGCACTCTTAACAATAGTGAACCAATGCTGTTTTCATAAACGTCAGTCATAGCTTGAACTCTAGAAACAGTAAATGAAAATACAGTCCTATTCTTAAATATTACCCACTGTTGGTTTTTAAGATGATTTTTTCCCTTTTCATTTGTGTATCATTTTTTTAGAGTTAGTTTTGCTTTCTGTTCACATGTGCATGTCTGTAGGAAAATTATCTTAGTGTAACTTAGAATTGATGTTAAAATGCTATGTTTAAATAAATCTTGACCATTTATTGTTCTTTATAAGAGTAATTTCCAGAAAACCTATAACTTGTGTCTTTTCATTTTGTTACTGTGAAACTAGAAGAATAATCATACTCTTTTTACTTCAATTTTGCAATTCTCACCATCATTAAGTGGAATGAATCACACACATCATTGCAGTTAAGTAAGGAGGAGGTAACGGTTTACTGCTTTCTCACAATACACATTTTTGTTATTGGGTGTGTAGTGTTTATTATTTGCAAGTTTTTGTTTCTTCTGGTAATGATGGTTAAGACCTCTAATATTATTAAAAACTTTAGTTTTTAAAAAGGACCTAGCAAATCCTTAAAATTACAATTACCTTAATTATTATTCAGCTGTAGACAACTTTGGATTTTTTAAGTATGTGTTTCTTGAGTTGTCTGCTTTAAAAAGTTTAGTGCCAGGACTGGAGGTATAGCTCAGTGGTTGAATGTTCTTAGGATGTACAAGCTCCTGGGTTTAGTGTCTTATTCTGCTCTGGTGTCTCCACATTTTGTGTTTCTTTTTCCTTCTTTTTTTGGGGGTGAGGAGGGGTTTCAAGACAGGGTTTCTTTGTGTAGCCTTAGTTGTCCTTGGCTGTCCTGGATCTCACTCTGTAGACCAGACTGTCCTCAAACCCACAGAGATCCACCTGCCTCTGCCTCCAAGTGCTGGGATTAAAGGTGTGCACCACCACTGCCCAGCTTTATGTTTCTGACAATTTGTATAATAACAGTTTTAATCTTAGAGATCATTCCTGAATCAGGCCTGATTATTTTCTTTTTATACAGCTGTTTGAGAGGTTGAGGTAAGTTCAAGACCTTTGGGAGCTACGGAGTAAGTTCATAGCTAGTCTGGGCAACTTAATAAGACTCACAAAGTCAAGTAAAAAGCAAAGCAAGAAAATGAAAAGGGTCAGTGCTACAGCTTAGTAGGAGAGCTGCTGCCTGACATGTGTGAGATCTTAGGTTAATCCCTGGTTCCCAGTACTGGGGAGGAAAAAACCCTTCCTGATGATTTTTGTCTTGCAGAAAAAGATATATAGGGTTCAAAGGTAATCTTTTTTGTTTCCCATTAAATACCTTTAAAGTAGATATTGCAATAAAAAATTAACTTTGGGAAATTTGAGCTTTTTAATGTAATATGTTAAGTTTTATAGTGTTATAGATCTTATTTATTCTGGAATTGAATCATCTAAAGAGCATCAAGTTGAATAAATATATATGAGGTAAAAGTTAAACATTATATTCATGTTTAAATATTTAAAAAGAATATAAAATGGTATTTTTAAGTAAATAATAGTAAATGGCCCCTGGCCCATCCAGTTGTGGCTTTTTTTTTTTTTTTTTTTGGTCAATAGATTTTTATTGCAGCTCAGCTTTGCTCACTGTTCATGGTTGCCTGTAGCTGCTTTGGCGCTGTGGCCGAGTCAGATGGTCGTAAGGAGACCGTCTGCAGAGCTTTCATGGTCACTCTCTGATGCTGTGCAGAGAGCGTTTGCTCCTGCTGCTGCTCTCCAGGATACGTTGATCTCACAGATGACCGCTGAGTAGAGAAGTGCCTATGCTGTTCTGTCGTAGAGAGAGCTCTGCACTTGAAGGTGACACCTGGCTGCAGTGCTGTTGTTATGTCTTAACCACGAGACGACGGCAGTGATTTCTGTGCTTCTTGGGGAGCCTCGATTACCCACTTATAAATAAGAATCGGATCTTTAAAGTCTTTTATAGCTGTAAAGTTCTGCTGTTCTGTAACTGTCTTAAGTGCCTGCTGGGATAGAGGGTCCTTGGATGTCCTTGTCACCTTTAAACTTATGATTCTATGTAACAAACAGGTTTGTTTGTTTTTTTTCTTTTTCTTTATTTTAGCCTGATAGACTAAAGCAGTTTAGTTTGACACCAAGACCCTTTGAAGAGATGATACCACCTGAGAGACCCAGAGTAGCTTTCCAGACACCTCTCCCTCCTCTCTCTGCCCCGCCTGCCCCACCCGTCCCGTCAGTTCACTCCGCCCCTTCTCCAAATGAAGACTTGCACAGTGGACTCAGCAGCACCCTTGGGGAAATGGTGCATCCCAGGTGCTTGTTTAAATGTTTGTGTTGGGAGTTAGGTAAGGTGGCACTGTGTCTTCTGTCTAGAGGGCGAGCTGCGGCAGATGGCGGCGGCCTTCCGGAGGTTTAACAATAGGAACTTTGCCAAATACTCTCTTCATAGTCACTGTTATTGATATTGTTTTTCTCTGCTATTAGAAAAAGGAGAAATCTTTGTCTCTATCATTTAAAGAGGATTAAATTGTAAAAAATGAATTAGTAAGTACATGTTAGTATTTTTTTAGGTCATGTTTTTAATGTCTTTTAGCATAGAAAATTTATGCATTGTTCCATTATTTCCACTTGGCAATCACTGAATTGTTTCTTCAACTTATTCAGAAAAATTTTCTAATATGGCACATGTCTGTGTGGTTTTATTTTAGCTTTGCCTCAGTTCTCTTTGGGCTTACTCTAGGGCTGTTGGGACTATAAACCTGTAATACATACTGAACATATCATTTCTATAGGTGAAAAGCATGTTAATACTAATCTGTACATTAAGAAAACCCTGTAACACAGATATTTTCTGGCCTACACTTATTTTCTTGCCTGTGGTTAATATGCTAATTATAGGAATATGTTTCAATTTGTAGAAGTTTTTCTTAACCTTTTAACACATATTTCTGAGATGTCTTTCCTTTCAGCAGGACTTGGTCTTTTAATTGCTACTAACAAATTCTAAGGCTTTTCTTACAGTGTTTATCAGGCGCTTCTTTGTTTCTTTACTGACTTCCTTGCTTCAAAGACTGAGAGACTGGGAGTGCAGGGCCGGAGCTGGCTTCTGTGTTGGGTTCACGATGGAATGGGCAGCTTCCCTGGACTCATGCAAACACGTTTTCTCATTTGTACAAGTTGGTGATAGTACTCGCCTACAGCTGGAGGTCGCTCTGAAGTTGGACTCTGCTGTGTATATACATGATTCAGGAGTTGCTGATCATCATAGAGTCCTTTCAGTCTGGGTTAATGATAGTGAAGTGAGACACACTGAGTGACTAATGCGTGTGGAAATTGCTCACTATTGAAGAGACTTGGTGCCTTGTTAGCCCTCCCAGTTCTTTAGGGGGAGTATGTTAATGCTCATGTAACAGTCTAGAAGGTTCCCTTTCTCTCTGTTTCCTTAAAGGAATTTGTTCTTGCCATTTTTTATTATTGAAGCATACTATTCTGGTAGAAACACATAACTGTCTCCTACTCAGTAAAGAAATGTGGAAGTACAAGTTTTTATACATTTTCAGTTTATGAACTATTAAAGATTTTATCAGGATTGTATTGATTTTCAAATAATCACATTTTGGTTGACTTTCTGTGAAAAACCAATAAGTTTTACATATAAAATATATACAATTTCAGACTGGGGATATAGTCCAATCAGTGATGTACAAAAAAAGCTGGGTGTTGTGGGGTGAGTTTGTGGTCCCAGTGCTGGGAGGTGGAGACTGGATACCCGGGGCTTGCTGGCCAGCCGGTAGAATTACTGAGTTCTTGGCCAATAAGCGACACTGTCTCAAAAAAACAAAGTGGACAGCTCCCAAGAATTGGCACGCAAGGGTGACTGATTGCCTCTGCTCTTGTACATACACGTGTGCACATTCTCTCCACGTGCACGAATTCCTGTATACATTGTGGACACATGAGCACCCATGTGGACACTTGTACTTCCATGTGGACGCATGCACATGCATAGACACACACACACACACTCACACACACACACACACACACACTCACTCACTGTCTTGCCCACACAGAATCATTTGTTGTCCTGTGTCTGAATCTCTTACACTTATCACATACCTCAAGCATCCTTTCCTGGAATCTTGAAGCTTTCCTCCCGTCTCTTTAGAGACTGGACATCCTGCTTTTTAAAGTTCCCTTAGCATTCTTTGTCTGCTTGTCTTATTTCACTGGATGCTGTCCTGTTGTAACTGTTCATTTCTGTATTATTACTGAGGGGCAGGGAGCTGACCTTTGTTGATATGGCACATATAACTGTTGGATATTACTCAATTAACTTCTTTTCTTCTTATCAAAATGTTCCTGAAGTTTTAAAATGTGTTGCCATTTGCTTTTTGATTGCTATTTTTTTCTTGAGCAATTAGTACAAGATTGATTTTTAATTTCAATAATACTTTTTACAAAAGATTAAAATATTTTGATTAAAAGTAATAAAATATGAGAATAATTTTTCATTTTTCTTTTGCTGTAGGATTATGCCTCTGCCTCCACCTCCTCTACTACCCACTATGGCCAGTAACTATCGGACGCCTTACGATGACGCATACTATTTTTATGGTGCCAGAAATACACTTGATCCCAGTATTGCTTACTGTGAGTTTTCTGTATTGTAAACATATTTTTCTGGTGAATTAGTAAGGATAATTGCTTTTATGGAAGCAATAGTATGTAAATGAAAATCAGGTACATCTTTATTTAATCCAAGCATTATATATTTACTGACAATAAATTCATACCTAATATCAAATCCAATTTTATTGCTTTGATACAATACATGGAACGGGTATTTTCTGAAGAAAAGAGATTTGTTTTAGAGGTCCAATATGCCCAGATAGCATATGTAGGGCAGATGTGTATATGTGTCTGTCTTTGGTCTTTTTCACTCTTCCTGTAAGTTCACCGTGATTAGTCACAGGGCTACAGTTTCTACTCTGTTAAATTTGTTAGCATAAAATTGTATGAATTAAGCTCCTGTGTGCACTTTAGAGGACAAACCATAGCAATACCCATTTTAAAATCCAGTTACAGATGGAGGGAAGATTATGAGTTCAAGGCCAATTTGGGCTACCAAAGAAGTTCCCAATCAGCTTGGTTCATAAAGCAAGACCCAGTCTGTAATACGTCTTTATCTGTCCCACTGGCTCCCAAATAATGATAATGATACAGAAACTTCTTATTAATTATGAAAGCTTGGCCTATAGCGTAGGCTTCTTCCTAACTAGTTCTTAACCTTAGCCCGTGTCTATCAGTCAATTTCCTGCCATGTGGCTCGTGGCTGTTCCTCTCCTCCCGCATGTCCTGCTTCCTCCATGTCTGGGTGGTGACTCTGCCTTCTTCTTAGAGTTTTGTCTCTGCCCAGAAGTTCCGCCTGTACTTCCTGCCTAGCTATTGGCTGTTCAGCTTTTTATTACACCAACCACAGCAATCCATCTTCACACAGTGTACAAATATCGCAAAACACCAGTCTTAAAACCAAAATAAATCTAATTGTGTTCATAGTTATTTCCTTTTTACTCAGAGTTAAGAAGTAATTGTTTTATATTCTCCTATGTTCTCCTATGTTCTTGTGCTAACTCTTTTTTTTTTTTTTTTTGGTTTTTTCGAGACAGGGTTTCTCTGTGTAGCTTTGCGCCTTTCCTGGGACTCACTTGGTAGCCCAGGCTGGCCTCGAACTCACAGAGATCCGCCTGGCTCTGCCTCCCGAGTGCTGGGATTAAAGGCGTGCGCCACCACCGCCCGGCTCTTGTGCTAACTCTTAACCCAGAAGGATGTGCTGGTGCTTGGGAAAAGCATCCTGCACATTTTTCTTTAGAGATAAGGTGTTATTAGTAGTAAGTCCTCTGAAATAAATGTGTTCTTTTTCCCCTTCCCCTTTAAGGTGGCCCAGGAGTGATGGGGGGACCGCCTGCTCCCCATGTCTCTGCCCCTGTCACTCACCATGTCGTGCAGCCTGTTGTGTAAGTCATTGCTTAAAACCATTTTTCCTTCTTTCCTCTACTTAAACAGTGCTAAGACATGAACAATATTAGTCCTCTCGCCTACCTGCTCTCGAGAGCACTTGCAGTAGTGAGTTTAGTGCTCTTGTAACATGATGTAACTGTCTTCAGAATGCTTCTCATCCTTTTTTTTTTCTTCAAGATTTATTTATTTCTTATGTATACAGTATTCTGTCTGCATGTGTGCCTGCAGGCCAGAAGAGGGCACCAGGTTTCACTACAGGTGGTTGTGAGCCACCATGTGGGATGGTGCGTACTGGGAATTGAACTCGGGACCTCTGGAAGAGCAGTCAGTGCTCTTAACCTCTGAGCCGTCTCTCCAGCCCCCTGTTTCTCATCTTATAAACTGAACTCTGTACTGTGAAGTCAGTAATGGTGCAACTCCATTTCCTCCTGTGACATGCCCTAGCAGTCACTATTCTGGTGTCTCTGTGGCTCTGACTTCCAGTACCTCCTGAGGGTCAGACAGTACTATTTCACCTAGCAGAGGTCTTTAGGTTTTTTTTTTTTTTTAATCTGTATTCTAACTTACGTTAGAATTTTCAAGACTGAATAACAGTACATTGTGTGTCTACACCATTAGTTTTACTTACCCGTTTATCCACTGGCAGACATTGGAGTTGCTTTATCATTTTAGCTGTTGTAAATATGCTGCTATTAGAATCATTGTTGTATAAGTATCTTTCCAAGTTCTCATGTGTGTATACCCAGGAATATAATTTTTGTGTCACATGGTAATTATTTTAAAAATATTTTGGAGGAACTGCCATATTATTTTCACAGTGGTATTCTATTTTGCCTTCCCATTATACAGTCTAAGATGTTAGCCCAGAGAATGCTGCCTTACACCGTGGGTGGGTTTTCTGACCTCAGTTTACCTAATCAAGCCCATCGGCCTGCTCAGAGGCTGGTCTTCTAGATCTCATCACACTTGGCGAGCACTTTACTGAAAGAACGATCTCCCCATCCCTTCCCTGTAGTTTTTTTTCTTTTTCCCTTCCTCCTTCTCAGTGCTGGGATTGAATACAGGTCCTTCTGAATGCTAGGCAAGCATTCTGTTACTGAGCCACACTTCCAACCCTAGAGTAGTTGTGATTTGTGTTTCCTTATTGATTTAGTGGTGTTGAGCATATTTTTATATGCTGTTGGCTGTTTGTATCTTCTTTAGAGAAATGTTTATTAATCATTTGTTCGTGGTTGAATTGTAGTTATTTTCATTATGGATATTAAAACATTTGTGGATTGCCTTTTAATTCTGTTGATACTGTCTTTTTAGTTTTTATTTGTGTGTGTGTATGTGTTTGTTGATGTGGGTGTGCACATGTGTACACCCATAGAAGTGTGTGTGCACATGTGTACATCCCCAAGGGACAGCAGTTTTGGATCATAGGTGGTTGTGAGTGCTGGGAACCAAACCTATGTCACTACTACTTAGCTAAAGATACAAATTGATTACATTTGTAAGTTTTATGTTTTAAAAGCAGAGATGGGAGATTTTATGGAGGAGTCATTTAATTAAGAATTTCTTCCTCTTCAAGACTTTTTATTTTACTTTCTATTTACTTTTTTGAATGTGTATGTGCATGTGTACAAATGAGCCACAGTTGTATGCCACAGTGTGCATGTGGAGGCCAGAGGACAACTTGTAGGAGGTGCTTCTGCTTGTGCCTGTGGTCCTGGGCACGGAAGAGGAGGTGCTGTACCCGCTGACCCATCTTGCTAGTTTTCTTCTTAAAGACGGTTTTATATGCCAGGCAGTTTCAAATAATTGTTTTTGTTTTCTTCTAGAATTGCTTGTTCTTATCATAAGTTGATTCAAATTATTTATTTGATGTTAGGAATCCTGTTGGACAGAATGAACAGAAAATTTTAGGTGATCGATTCATGAATTCAGGACTGATCTTTGAAGATAAACCAAAACCTTCCAAACAGTCACTTCAGTCTTACCAAGAAGCTCTGCAGGAGCAGGTATTCCTTCATTCATGTATTCCTTTGGTGTTGACTGAGTTATTTATAGCACAACCTTAGACCTTAGGGGAAACAATAATAGGCAATGTGGTAAGCTTTGAAGTGGGTACACTGGAATGCTATAAGAAACAGTAGTCTTACCTGGGACAGTTAGGGCTTCATATATAGTGGATATTTGAGCTGCATGTTGGTTCACAGACATTCTTGGTATATTCAGGGAGCTTTATTCACACTATTTTTGTATTTCCCTGTGTCTGCTCCTAGGGAGTTGCTTATTTATGTATTGAGTGTATGTGTGTGTGTGGTTCTCTCCTTTTACCTTGTGTCTTTTTGGGATCAAACTCAGGTAGTTAGGGTTGGTAGCAGGTTATATGACCTTTTGAGAAATCTTGCTGGCCCTACAGGAACCTTTAGTTCAGTTCTTCCTGGAGGTGCTAAGGCTCCTCATGAGCCATATGGGGAGTAAGAGAGGATGTCCAAGAGACACTTCTCTGATCTTTCTTGCACAGGCCATGGGTGTAGGGGATAAGAAAGCAGAGGGCTTGACCATGATTCATAGTGTTCAAACCGAGGAGACTGAAGAGGCAACACACCAATAGGGAATATGTTAGTGGAATACTTACAGGAAGCACACTGGCTTCTCTTGTAGTTTATATTGTAAAGAAACTTACTTAGAGGAGTTTATAAGGGTTTCCCAGGGCCAAGATTCAAGGGGTAGGTCCACATTAATAAAGTACAGTTTTTGTTGTTTTCTTTTCTTGAGGTAGGCTTTCATGTGTGCCAGGCTGGCCTTGGACTCACTTCTGTGATGAAGAAAGAATGGCCTTGAAATCCCAGTCCTCCTGTTTCCTTCTCCCTCCTTGGTGCTGTCCTGTTTATGTGGTACAGAGAATTAATCTTAGGACTTTCTAGGCAAGGGCTCCACATTCCTAGTCCTTTGTTAATTTTATATGAACATATTTATTATTTTTGATTCTGTGTTTGTGTGTCTGTATACATGAGTGCTGATGACCACAGTAGTGTCAGATCCCCGTGGAGCTGGAGTTATAGGCAGTTGTGAGTTGCCCTATGTGGGAATCAAGCTTAAGTCCTTTGCAAGAGCAGCGCTCACTCTTAACTGCCCCAGCCCCTTGTAAAATACTCTTAGTCACGTTTTTTCTTTCTTTCTTTTTTTTTTTTTCTTTTTCGAGACAGGGTTTTTCTGTGTAGCCCTGGTTGTTCTGGAATTCACTATGTAGACAAGGCAGATCTTGAACTTCCAGAATATACCTGGTTTTACCTCCCAAGTGCTGAGAGATTAAAGGCATGCACCACCACTGCCCAGTTTTTTTTTTTTTGTTTTTTTGTTTTTTGTTTTTTGTTTTTTTTTTTGGACAGGATCTCATTGTGTGTCTATAGTTGCCTGGAACTCACTGCTGTACCCACAAACTCACAGAGATCTATCTGCCTCTGCCTCCCGAGTGCTGGGGTACAGATTTGCATGTTATGTCCTTAAGCTTCTCTGAATTTCCTCAGTAACTTTGATAATGTTTCTACTTTCAGCTCTGATTTTTAAAATTTGACTAAGGGTTTGCCAATATTGTTAATCTTGGCAAATGAACCAACTCTTCATTCCATTAATTATTCTTCTTCTTCTTTTTTTTTTTTCATAAATTTTTTGATAATTTTATCCCTGACTAGAATTCTCTCTTCTTGTCTATTCCTTTGGGTGTTTCTGTTCTTGTTTTTCCAAGGTCTTCAATTGCATCATTAAGTTATTGATGAGATCTTTCAGTCATTTCATGTATTCACTTAATACCATAGACTTGCCTCCTAGAACTGCCTTTATTATGTCCATAGATTCTGGTATATTGTATCTTTATTTTCATTAATTCTAGAAATTAAAAAAAATTCCTTCTTAATTTTACCTTTGACCCAGTTTTCATTCAGTCGTGTATTGTTTAACATACATGAGTTTGTGTACTTTTTAGTCAGCGTCAGTCTCATGTGATTAGATGAAATGCAGTATGTTTTTTCAGTTTACCTAAATTTGTTTAGACTTACTTTATGTCCTAATATGTAGTCAGTTTTGGGGAAAGTTCCATGGGCTGCTGAGAAGAAAATGTATTCTTTAGTGTTTGGGTGGAATGTTCTACTGTATATGTCTTTTAGATCCATTTGATTAATGGTGTCATTTACCTCCAGGCTTTCTCTGTTTTGTTTTTGTATAGAGAACTTGTTTCTTGGTGAGAGTGGAGTACTAAAGTCAGCCACTGTCACTAACTGTGTTCAGTCTGTGATCTTAGAGGATGCCATTGGGTTTAGTGTCTCAGTGCTCAGAATTGTCGTGTCTTCTCATTGGATATTTCCTTTAGTGAGCAGGAAATGTCCTTTCTTTGATTAAGTTTGGTTTGAAATTTATGATTTTGTCAGATATTAAGCTAGCCAGACCTGCTTGATTCTTTGTTCCATTTATTTGGAACAATACCTTTTTCAATCCTTTCATCAATGATGGTATCTATGGTTGATGGTGAGGTATGTTTCTTACAACAAGCAAAAAGATGGATCTAGGTTTTTAATCTAGTCTGTTAGTCTGTGTCTTTTTGTTGGGGAATTGAGACATTTATTATTGGGAGTTAATTTTGATCAGAGTTTATTAATTCCTGTTATTTTGTGGTGCTGTTTTCTTAGACCTCTCATGGTCAACTGTATTGAGGTCATTTATTCCCTGTACTCTTGGGTGTGCTTAATCTCTTTAGACTGAACTGTTCCTTCTAGTATCCTCTGTAGAGCTGACTTAGTGGACAGAAGTTCTTTAAACCCAGTTCTATCACAAATTGTTTCTCTTTCCATTATGACAGTTTTTCTGGGTATAGTAGCCTGGGTTGTCATCTGTATTCTTTCAGAACTTTCTATCCAGGGCCTTCTGGCTTTCAAGCTCTCCGTTGAAATGTCAGATGTTATTCTGATGGACCTGCCTCTGTAGGTAACTTGGACTTTCTCACTTGCAGCTTCCAATAGCCTTTCTTTGTTCCTAGGGAATTTCTTTTCTGATCTTTTATGTTTGGTGGTGTTTGTGTCTCTCATCCCTTGATTAGTACCTTTTCCCTCAGATTTGAGAAATTTTCTTCTATAATTTTGTGGAAAGTATTTTCTATGCCTTTGATCCGGGTTTCTTTTCCTCTGTACCTGATTTGTATGTCTGGTCTTTTTATAGTGTTTCAGATTTCCCAGGCGTTCTGTTCCTGGGGTTTGTCTTTTTGATTGTGTTTATTTTTAGATGAAACATCTGGTCTGACCAGAAGGTTTCTTTCCTCTAACTGGTGTTGCAGATCTGCTAGTCTCTCCCCCTGACTCCCGTTGGTGGGACTTTGCACTGATCTTTTGTTGGAGAGTCTATCTCTGTGTTAAGTTACATTTTCATTGTTTCATGCAGATGCTCATTTATGCTTTTGCAGACTCCCTTCAGGCGACTGCTCATGAGCCTCTGAGTTCCCTAAGTTACTTATAGAGGCTGTTTTGAAGTCTTGGTCTTGTCCGTCAGCTAAGGCGCTTTTCTCAGGCGTAGGGTGGATTGCTGTTTCTGGAGGAGACATGCTGTCTTGGCTGTTCATGTTTATGCTTTTTTGATGGGATCTAGGCATCTGGAGTTAGATGGCTGGTGGTGTTTCTTTGTATGGATAGCTGATCTTGCCTTTATTGGGTGTGTGTTTGATCTTTGCTCTTGCCCCGACTTGTCAGATTATGGGCCCGCTGAGTGGTGGTTTGTCTTCAGTTTGGGCCACGCTGTTGATATGCAATGGAGTTGTCAGTGTTCTTTGCCTAGGGAGGAGAGGGGCAGCTCCTGGGCCCGGCTGTACCTGTAGGCCTCGATTCTTGCTGCAGAGCTCAGAGGTGTAAGGAGAGCTCTCAGGAGTCTACTGGTGATCCTTGGGTAGCAGGGTGGGAATCACGGTGAGTGTGGGCGATGCTCTGTGGGGTGGGTTGACTGGTGGGCCTGGAACTGGATCTAGGAGCCCCTACCTAGAGTTCAGGTCACAGTCCTCTAGGCTGTCCCGGAGTGGCTGGCTGATCGTAGAGGGAGTGGCTGATAGGCAGGTGGGACTTCCCCTGTGTCTAGGAGTCTAGTCCCTCCTAGGACTTCCGGGTCAGTTCTCACTTGATCCTGGAACAACACAACGTGTGTGATATCTAAGGGGCAGGAGGTCAGGTGGACTGGATGTAGGGGCTGGTGAGGGCTTCTCCTTGCAGTTCAGCTCAGACCCCTGCATTTCTAAGGGGCAGGAGGTCAGGTGGACTGGATGTAGAGCCTGGTGAGGGCTTCTCCTTGCAGTTCAGGTCAGACTCCTGCATTCCTAGATGAGCATTCTTATTTGTGAATTCATAACTTTATAGTGAAGAAGTGTTCTTTAAAAAAAAAATCTGAAGTTTTTTTTTTTAAACCAGAAAAATTAAATAGTAGTATTGCTAGTCTCTTGTTTCAGCCTGCTGTAAGTCAATATTTACTTTAAACATATCTTATGTTGTCAAGATTCGGGAAAGAGAAGCAAGAAGGAAGAAAGAACGCCTAGAAAAAGAAGAATATGAAGCTAAATTGGAGGCTGAAATGCGAATTTACAACCCCTGGGGGAAGGGCGGAGGTGGCGCTCCTCTCCGAGATGCCAAAGGAAACCTGATAAGTATGATGTGTCCATGAGTTTGTGTTAAATGCATTCTTTCCAGTGTTTTAAGAGTGGAGAGTAAAAAGAGGTGGGAATCAGACTATATAATAAGGGTTTATTTTATGATTTAATGCAAATATGCTCTCCTGATTATGAATGTAATATATGTTACAAAGTCTTTCTTCTGCAGAATAATAAATACATTTTCCATTCTCTGATAGTCACCAAACTGCAAAGAATAATTCATGTTAGTTGGTGCTTATCCAGACTAGTATTTTATACACACACACACATACACACACACACACACACACACACACACACACACACACACACTATGTATATATATCTATATTGTATATTAAAGTATATTTTCTTTTTTTACTGAAAGTATTAAAAATTTCTACAAGTTTATTTTAGACTAATAAAAATTGCAAATAGATAACTGAGGTAACTGTGGGAAGGGATCTGCTTTGAATTCATATATGGAGTATACCTGTTCAATATATGGCTTCTTTTGCACTGGGGGCATCTTTATTTCAGAAACTCTGGCAAGTTTCAGAGTTATAATCCTTCAGTTATTTATTCTTTTGTGTTTGCTTGGCGTGGTGGCACAAGCCTTTAATCCCAGCACTTGGGAGGCAGAGCTAGGTAGACCTCTGTGAGTTAGAGATAGCCTGGTCTACGCAGCGAGTTCTAGGCCAGCCAGAGCTACATAGTATAACCCTATATCCAAACAAGAAGCTACTTCATAAACACTGTTAGCTACATTAAAATAGTTTTTGCCAACTCTGGCTAAGTAGAATAAGAGTCAAGATCATGTGGAGTTTAGTTATAAGTGACTTAAAGGCTAAAGAGAGGACCCACTAAAATGCTAAAAGTAGTGTCAGAATTGTGGGTATGCAGAACTTAGAATTCTTTTTTCTTTCTTGAGACAGGGTTTCTCTGTGTAACAGCACTGGCTGTCCTGGAACTCACTCTGTAGCCCAGGCTGGCCTCAAACTCACAGAGATCTGCCTGCCTCTGCCTCCCGAGTGCTGGGATTAAAGGCGTGCGCCACCACTGCCAGGCCGAATTTAGAATTCTTATGGGTTACGCCTTTTGTTCTTTTTTTGTTTTGTTTTGTTTTGTTTTTTTTTGTATTGTTTTTGTTTTTTGAGACAGTAGTTTTGGTGCCTGTTCTGGATCTCCCTTTGTAGCCCAGGCTGGCCTTGAACTCAGCCTGGCTCTGCCTCCCAGAGTGTTGGGATTAAAGGCGTGCACTTCCACCGCCCGGCATGTCTTCTGTTCTTATGAATATTTCAGGTGTATTTGAGCCCACTTAATAAGGTGACTCTTTCTCTCCCTTCAATTATTTTTTCCTTTTGTACCTTCATATCCTCATAGGTTTAGAAGACCAGAGCCCTTGGTGCCTTTTCCTAATAGATGAAGTTATTTTAAATGTGGCCTACAATTTTTATTTGAAGTGTGTATTTGAATATGTTAGGAAAATAATTTTCATTTACTTACTCGGGATACTATAATAGTCCCTTATTTATCGAGGAGTGCCAAGCCTGTCTCAGGCTTATGGCAGAAGGAGTTTCCTTCCCGGGTCTGTGGGATTCTGGTTCTGGTTGCTGCTTCTCCAAGAGAGGGACTTCTTCATTGAGTCACTGCTCCATGTTAGAATCCCTTCCCTCTTGGCTGCACAGTGTGGGTCTAGGAGTAGTGAGGTGAGTGGGGGATTCTGTTTGTCCTAGCCTGGAATTGGAGGATCATCTTCTCTGCCCTCGTTCTCTGCCCTCGTTCTGCTGGTCAGCTACTCCCAAGAGCTCCTGCTCAGGGGCGACAAAGTTTGCTTTTCCTCTTAGTGCCCAGGAGCAGGCCTGGGGTTGATGAGTCTGTGGCCAGTTGTTAGCTTAAGGAAGTTGGAGTCATGAGTTGTCAGAAATACTCTAGCCAATGTGGAGGACGCCCCATCAGATTGGGAGCAGAGTAATTCAGAACTTTCCAGGAGGCCTAAAGCAGTATAATTATGGGACAAGTTTGTAGTGAAGTGTGGATTCTTGAATTGTAAGACACCACTTTCGAATTGCACGCTGGAGGAAATGAAGACAGTACCTCTGAGGTTTCTATGTTAAGTAGTAATGTTTATCTACTTTATGTTGCAGTCATCACATGAAACAGAGAAAATGGGTTTTGTCAAGGACGGAGAAACTCAAAATACTGTATTCAAAGTAACGAGTCCTTACCTAAGAAGTGTCAAGTTTTGTATGTGGGTGTTATGTTTTAGAGATGGGGAAACATGACTTTGGTATTGTATTGAGATGTTCAGGGAAGCGTATTGTGATGACCAAGGTGTGTCCTATGTACTTATAGCTATCTCATTCTGCTGCTTCCTTGTGGACTTCTTTTGTTTACTTTTGGTCTTCTGATGGAGAGAAACTAAAGAACGTGAGTCTTCACTTCTCACACCTAGGTCTTTTTAAGAGAATATACTTCTTAATGAAATAAAGCAGAACAAATTGTTTTTAAATAAACACCTGTTTTAATTGTTTGTACCACAGTTCAGTGTTCTTTATTCACTAGAACTCTTTGTTTGTCTGTCTGTCTATTTTTGGTTTTTCACTGTGTAGCTCTGGCTGTCCTGGATCTTGCTCTGTAGACCAGGCTGGCCTTGAACTCACAGAGATCTGCCTGCCTCTGCCTCTTGAGTGCTGAGATTAAATGCATGCACCACCACCGCCCGGCCTAGAACTCTTTATTTAAGGTCCTATAAAAGCTAAGCTATTATAAGATGTTTGAGTAGGTGAATGGACAAGCTTATTTATCCAGTGTGTGTGTGTTTTGGGGGTTGGGGGGAGTTGCTTAGCAATACAAAGGAATGAATTGTTGGTGCACATAATTTGTGAGACTCAAAAATTCTGATAAGGAAAAGATCCATTCTGAAAATTACCTTTGTACATTTCTATTATGTGATGTTTTCAAAATAATGAACATGCCCAGTGTGTGTAGGCTGGGAATATGACTGATTATAGATAGCAAGATGGGTGTGTTTTGGTGATGGAGCTTCTCAAAAAATTAACTGATTATAGTGATATTACTTGAAACTACATGTGATAAAATTTTAACAACTATACTGCAGTGGTTCTAACTTTCCCTCATGTGGTGGTGCCCCCAACCATAAAATTATTCCATTGCTACTTCATAACTGTAATTGTGCTACTGTTATGACTCATAATGTAAATATATAATATTCAGGATACCTGATATGTGATCCCCAAAGGGGTTGAGACCCACAGGTTGAGAACTGGTGCTATACACCAAAAGAAGTTTATGTGGATAGCAGAAAAATTAAACCCCCAAAATGAAACATTTGAGCCCTTGAAAGATGCCTGGCCATCTCTCAGTCCTGGTGAGAGGGATGCTAACTATTCTGTCATACATGTTTGACCAAGTAATGCCTTGTCATTACCTTATGTCTATTGAGGTAAAATTTGCATGTAATAAAGTGACTCTTAAAATTTAGTGAGTTTTGACAGCTGTTCTGAAATCACTTCTCCCACATTCAAGATGTAGCGCTATTCCAGAACTGCTGGAAGACAGTTGCCTCTGTCCCCTTATGGGCAGTCCTCTTACAGCCTGTTGCCCCTGTAAATCCTGGGGTGCCAGTGTTGCCTTTTGATTTTGATAATTTTCTTTCAGAGTAATTTTGTGATATTCTTTTCTTTCTGTTACTGAATGGTGTTGCATTGTTTTGAGGTACTGTCTGCTAACAGTTGATAGATACTTGAGTTATTTCCAGTTTAAGGTCAGTATGAATAGAATTGCTGTAAGCCATAGGTTCTCAGCCTATTGGTTGCAACCCTTTTGGGGGTTGAATGACCCTTTCACAGGGGTCGCCTAAGACCACTGGAATACATAGATATTTACATTACAATTCATAACAGTAGACAAATCACAGTTATGGAGCAGCAACAGAATAATTGTATGGTTGGGGGTCACCCCAACATGAGGGACTCTATTAAGGGTCGCCGCATTAGGAAGGGTGAGGACCACTGCTGCACTGCTGTACGTGCTCATATACAGGCCTCTGTGAATTTGCACTTTTATTTCTCCTGGGTAGCTAGATGCTTAGGAATAGGTTTAGTTGGTCACACAGTGTTTTGTTTGCTTGTTTTTTTTTTTTAATCTGTGTTTCAGATTAAAACTGTTTCCAAACTGTGCCTTTTTCAATAACATCAGAAAAGCACACACTCTCCAGTGCTCTGAACTCTCATCAGTTTGTGGCTCACAGTTTAGCCATTCTCAGGAATGCATAGGTATTTCAGTATTTCAAAGAACTTCTATTGTGAAATAACTTTAAAAGAGTTGCAAAGGTCCAGCGAGAGTACCTTTCAGTGTGTTTCCTTCATAATGGACATTTATGTAATCATGGCCCAATTATAAAAGCTAGAAATAACATCAATACTGAACTGTCAGTGAAATTATAGATAGTATCTAAATTTTGTCAGCCCCCCCACATGTCTTCTTCCTGTTCCAAATGCTACGTTATACATGTAGTTGCCTGTCTTGTTTATTGGATTCATTCATTTATTTATTCATTCATTCATTCTTGCCATGCGTGTGTGCCTGATGTGTAAGTGCTGGCTCTGGCAGACCACACGGCATGTGGAGGTCAGAGGGCAACTTCGGGAGTCAGCCGTCTCCGAGTTCCATCGTAGCCTGTGATCGGGGTCCAGCTCAGGTGGAGGCTTGGGCAGCACTTGCTCTCTCCTGCTGACGCTCTTGTAGGCCCGCCAGTCTAACCTGCCCTCTGTGACCATTGTCCACGTATTTGCCTACTCAGATCTACGTGTGTGCATATGCTTGTGTGCATTTCCTGTACCACTCAGTCCATCCATCCAACATGGTGCATCACTTAGTGGTTTTTATTTTTATTTTTAAATTTCAAATTTTTATTTTTATTTTTATTTTATTATTATTTTTTTTTGAGACAGGGTTTCTCTGTGTAGCTTTGCGCCTTTCCTGGAACTCACTCTGTAGCCCAGCCTGGCCTCGAACTCACAGAGATCCGCCTGGCTCTGCCTCCCAAATGCTGGGATTAAAGGCGTGCGCCTCCACCACCCGGCTCTTAATGGTTTTTTATTATTCAGAGTTATACCAAAAGGCAATCAATTTTAGAACATTTCCATGTTGAATTTCGTTGGCACTATGGTAAACTCTGCATGTCTAACTTTATGTCTACATCATACACTTGTCTAATTCTGTAGTAAGTTTTGAAATTTAGATGGTGAAGTCTATTTTCTTTTTCTTTTGTTTTTTTTTGAGACAGGGTCTCCCTGTGTAGTTCTGGTGTTCTTGAATTGTAGACCTCTGTGCCTGCTTCCCAAATGCTAGGATTATGGGTGTCTGTCATGATCTCTCCTTGAACCCCCCAAGATTGCTGTGACGTCCAGTTATTTATTTTACTATTAGTTGGTCATCTTTATCCAAATATGGTGCGATTTTCTTTGGAATTGTATTGACCCTATGGGTAATTTTGGTACAGGCATCATCTTAACAGTATTGACTCTTCTGATGAACTGGTGT